TATAAAATTGCCAACCATAAAATAATAATTACAGCTTTGGTTGTTTCTGGAACCTCTGGCTGCTCCATGGTACAGCAAGCCCTGAGGTGTAGGCAGAGGCATCTGTCTGATGGGGGAAACAGAACCCTTCTGGGTGTTCTCTGCTGGAACTATCATCCCCCCCTACATGCTCACACCTCCATCGCCATCCTGCTGCCATTAGTCTCTCATCACAAGCGCTTCATCTCTGAAACTCCTCTCCACTCATCCTCAGGAGAGGTACTAGAAAGGAATCCTCGGCTTTTCAAGAGGAGTGGGCCTTTTCTGAGCCTTTTAATGGACTCCCAACAGCTGACAGACTGTACATGTTGCTGTATTAAGGCTTTTCGAACAGTGGAGGAGCATGTATGAACATATCCTTTCTGATGAGTGCTGGCAGAAATTCTCCTGAGGGAACAATCAAGTTTGATATGCGTCTGATGTATCTTGTTATTGCTGTTTTTGCCTTTGTGTGCTTTCTATGTTCAAGGAGTGTCAGTTATCATGCGTTACATGTTTTTGCAATATATGTGAATGAGTAGTGTGAGATTATTGTGATAGATACACCTGTGCAGTCTTTTCTACTAGATTTCTGACATTCAAGCAGTCTGTTGAGTATGCTGCTAATCTCACGTAATGCTTTTCACTACTACATAGGCCCTGTGCATTGTGGTTTTGTACTTAAATCAGCAGTGCTGAACATTTGCTGACAGTGAGAATAATTAAATAAAACTGTTGACATATAGGTTCTGCTATTCTGAGTTGCTGCTTTTGCTACGTTAACGCCATCCTTTCAGCTCTGGCATTAACACATCACAACTGTTGTGCCAGTGCGAGAACATAGCCGCATACACCAGACTTAAAAACTCTGGTATGCGAGTACAGAGCAATTTTCTGATGGCGATAGGCTTAATTAGCATTGTGTGAACTCATTCGGTAAGGGCTTGAATGTAACGGATGTTCACTAATATGTAAAAGTCCCACACTCTAGCTTTAAGCCATCAATGCAGAAGTTCCAATCCCTGTTGTGCTGAACCCTGCCTACCTTTGAAGGGAGTGATTACATCAGAGCCTAAAAGCCAAATATATATCAACTCTTTACATTTGCAAAATAATCCTTTTCAGATGAGTTGGCTGAAATAATATTGTACCTACCACGTGACATCTGGGAACCTGAAAAAGAAGTCTGACAAGCCAACAAACACAAGCAATCAGACTGCTTCACCTTTGATCTATTCTACTTGCCGTAGTTGTGCACACACAGTTTTGCTGTACAATGAGGGATTATTTGTATGTTGTAACATGTTGGATGCGCTCAACTTCAAAGTTGTAAATAACCAAAGTTTTGAGTAGGCACTGATTATATTATTCTATAAATAGTACCTTTTTAGCCAATAATTGGTCAGGATCATCTATAAAGAACACCTGTTTCATATTTATTTTCAGGGGCTGATATGTAACCATTGTAATATGCTCTTTTCCATTCACGGTCAATGTTCCAGAGAGCTTATACACCATCTAACAGTACAACAACCAGGAATCGTGAACTTCATCTAAATGTACTCCACTTCCATTCATGACTTGTTTAAAGTATCTGGTACAGGAAACTGGCTGACAGAATGGCAGTTCAACTGAGGCTGTTGTCTCAACCTGAATGTTGCCCTTTTCTCTCTGTCTTTTTCTTTCTCTTCCACTCTGTTTCCATTTCACTCTGGCTCTATCTTTTTTCTCTCTCTCTCTCTTTCCCTCCCTCCCCCGTCCTCTCTTCTTCTCTCTCTCTACCACACAGGAGGCCATTATAACTGGTCTGCTCCCAGAGACCACCTACTCTGTGACTGTTGCTGCTTATACCACCAAGGGCGATGGGGCTCGCAGCAAAGCCAAGGTGGTCACAACCTCAGGAGCAGGTGCGTGCTGCGTATAGATTTATGTGTTGCGTCAACCTGCTAGGCAACACATTTTTTTAAATAAATGGGGTTTTTTTTACCATTTTTCCTCATTGTGTAAAGTCTACCTTGACATTTTTGACAACAGTTAAATCACATGTTCAGTAGTCAGCTGCCTCTTCAAATAACAGGTGAATTCACAAGCAAAACACAACCTTGCTTAATACCTTTCAGGGGTTGTGTTGCTCCAGCCTTTCTTGTTCTGGTAATGTTAGCAAACTTTAAATAGAAATAGCATTATGAGCAACTTTACCAACAATTCCACTACCCTCTGATGCCCCTATTGCCAGTCCAACATTGTTTGTCAGTACATTGGTTAAGGTTTGGTTAGGTTTAGGCAAAAAACTACTTTCTAAGGGTTAGGAAAATACCATGCTTTGAGTTAAAAACCAACAGCTTTGTTAAGGTAAGGGAACATTTGTCATCATGGTTAGATGTTTATTGTTATGGTTAAAGGAAAACTATGTTTTTTTTAATTTTCAGTATTCCAGCCATTGGTTCTATTGATAATGATAGCATTGTACTCTACTAATTGTTGAGATCTCTGAATGTAGCAACATAGCTAAAAATAGATCTGGCCTCACCAGAAAAACTGTCATATATGTCATCTGAGCAAACAGTTTATTACGGCCTACAATTACATTTATTGTAAGTCAGCATCCTCTACTGCCAGTAGTAAATAAACCCCTAACCCTAACTCTTTGGGAAATGGTCATATGTGTTGTTTTGGGAGTCATTGGCAATAGACCTATTCAGTTGTTTAGGTATGAGGACATGTTGAAAAGGACATCAATGTGTTTGAGTTTAATTCTTTAGTGTTTCATGAATTTGGTCTGTTTACAAGTAATCAAGACATGGGAATGTTGTAAAATGTTTCCTGTCTTCCAGTGCCTGGTAAGCCCACTATGATGATCAGCACCACCATAGGGAATACTGCCCTGATTCAGTGGCAGCCCCCTAAAGAGATGGTGGGGGAGCATGTAGGATACCAGCTGCAGTACAAGAGAGCAGAGGAGGAAGCTTTCATTATCAAAGACTTCAGACAGACAGATGATCATTTCACAGTCACCGGTCTCCACAAGGGCGCCACCTACATCTTCAAACTGTGCGCCAAAAACCGAGCAGGCAACGGAGAAGAGTATGTGAAAGAGATAAGCACTCCAGAAGACATTCCCAGCAGCTACCCCCAGAATCTGAGTGTGGAAGGCCTGACCGCCACCTCCACCAAGCTGGCCTGGGACCCCCCTCCTCTGGCCGAGAGGAACGGGAAGATTGTCAAGTATGTGGTGGTGTTTCGAGATATCAATAACCAGCACAACAACACCAACAGTACCACAGAAACACACATGACCATCCAAGGTTTGCAACCTGACACTACCTACGACATCAGGGTCCAAGCTTTCACCAGCAAAGGGGGAGGACCCATCAGCCCCAGCATTCAGAGTAGAACCATGTCCACCTCCATGCCAGGTGAGCACCACAGGCTATTTATCCGTACTGCATTGCAATTTTGCAACATGTATGTGTATGTGACAATAAAGTATCTTCTTCTTCTAATTATCCTAAAATAAGGCACAAACACAAAATCTTCAGGCTCAGATGCACATCAGCGTGACCATCATATTTTTGTGATTCTGGTGTCCATAGGCATAGGAAAATGGGCTGAATATATTATTGGTAATGGGAATACAGAATTAGCCATAGGAGGAAGACAAGCTTCAGTAGTGAACAATGAGCTCCTCTAGTCCTACCTTTAAAAGCAGCAACAGGTGACATGCGGGAGAAAGACTGAGTTGTCCAAGAGAGAAAAAAGTCCATCTCCAAGTAACACCTGACGTTTCAAAGTAAAACTACACAACATCCCAAATATTAGATTACATGCCACAAATATGCTGTTAATGGTACAATGAACAGGCAGTTGATATATATGATTCTCTGCCATCAAGTTGGTTCTGAGCAGAAGAACACACAATTGGTGTTTGCAGTAGATTCATGAAAGGTATTCTGTGGTTTTGGAGAGTTCTGTGCGCATGCTCTTCTGTGGTGAGAGGTGGTCTGAGCAGGTTTAAATACAAACCAAAAGCTCCAAACGGAAAAATAGACTAGTGCCTGAGGAAAATTGCATAAAATCTGTGTTTGCTCTACCACTGGCTTTGTGCTGGTAGGAAAATAGAGCGCTTTCCAATGCAAACCTTACAAATCTTTAAAAACAAACAAAAACTTTCATCCAGCAGCAGGTTGCATTAGGGCTGGACGATATGGCCAAAAATGTTATCATGATAAAAAGTTTCATATCTTTTGATATCGATAATTATCCCGATAAGTATCAAATAGTTTTTCTTTCAAGTTTAAAGGCTGATTTTTGCTCCTGAGTAAAAGTTGAAGAAACCTGATGGTTAATTGTGTTTTAAACTTTTCTTTATGGTCAACACTTGATGCCAAACAGTGGATCAGGATCACAAATCTGAGATAGAACATTCAAAATATTTATGATAAAATCTTGTTAACAATATCTTTAAGTAAAATTAAGTATAACCTTTTTCAGTCCTTTTTCCTCAACTGAATAAATCTATCTAACAATCTTTATCAGAAAAATTAAGTCCTAATTCGTGTATGATTCAAGTGAATAAAATCAAACATTTATTGAATATTTATTGAACATTTGTTATATTGTTATTGAAAAAAATTATATTGGGATAATTATTGTTATTGTTTTATTGTCCAGCCCTAGGTTGCATCTTTATTGGTAGTTTTGTGATCTACAGCTTTAAATTCAATATTTCCACTGACTGTAACTAAACTCATGGCTGCACTCTTCCTATGTTAGATATGTGCTATGCCACTGCCTGGGAGACAGTCTCAGATGCTTCCTAAAGAAAAGTATAGGTAAAATGTGCTTTATCTGATTGATTGATGTTTTTTAGCTTACTGGCTAATCTTCCAAGATTCCACATAAGAGGTGGGGAAGTTATCCAGAAGTCATCCTTGAAGTCTTTTCAATTGTAAAATCAAAACATACTGTTTCAAAACACTTTATATTAAACTTACATTTCACCTAGTAAGTTTTCATGGTCATAGAGTGAAAAACACCCACTGCAACTACATTTGTAAGAACTGAAGAACCTTGGAATGGTATTGGCACTGTACAGTATATCTCAAATTTCATTTACATGTTATAACGAGCTAATTTAAATTCTGGTTCTTTTTTTTTGGTTTGTGTAACTAATTGGATGTTTTTAATCCAAGCTTGGGTAGAGTTTCACAGATTCGGGTCAGTGCAATAGCTTTTTACTTTCCTAGGCAAAAGATTCAGACACTAAAGGCAGAACAACAGGACAACAACAGTTCTTTATTTTCTGCACCAACTGTTCAACTTTGAATCATCTCAGTTATATCTGCAATTAACTACCTAATAATCATCTAGACCTTCCTTCAGTTTTCACCAAGAACTTTGGTGTGAAGGCTGTGATGAAAACTTCTGTCCTGCTGACCTGGGAAGTTCCAGAAACCTACAAATCTCAAGTACCTCTCAAGGTAAGATCAGACACTGAATTTATCAACTAAAAGAGGTGTCTTACTGATAATGTATGACCATGTAGTCACTATTTGTGAATATCAATAAATATGGTTAGGCACCAAAGAATAAAAACTAGGGAGTGATTTTCTCATTTCTCGAACTGCTTCCTAGACAATAATGTGGACAGCTATAGACTGACTTATGTGACCTGAAATAGCATTGAATTTAAATTCACAAAACATATCCATGGGCTGTAGTGATATGGTATGTATAAACTGAATTGTATTGTAAGTACTGTATATGCAAACAGGAAGTGTTATCATTAAAATATTTAAAAAATAAAAAAGTAATTTGTTAAGGGGTCTGTCTGTGTTATCATTCAGCCTTGGGCACTGTGTAGCTCCGATTATAAGCTAAAGTGCAAAAACAAAAGTTTATGACCATAGATCAGCAACTAAATAATTGTAAGCAAAATATTATGCTTTATTTATATAACACCTTGTAACAGAGTGGTTCAGTGTGCTTCCCAAAATCAAAAGTAGAGAACACAGGAGGCAGCAAGGTTCCAAAGTTTCCAAGGTTCCGAGATTGCTAAAAAGACTGCTAAAAATCTTAATCCTTGCGAAACAGTAGTTCATGGGCTTCGGAAATGCATGTCGGCCAATACATTCCACACGATTTACTCTCGACACGGGTTGGTTACCTGCTTGCATCCAAAGCCCATTAAAAGGTGATTAGACAGTCCTACCTGGACTACAAACTGACTACAAATGGAAACCAGAACACTTCAATACCATTTTTTTTTTACATATAACAGAAACACAAAGTAGTACTGACAGCCATAATGTCAGCTTGTGGTAAAATGGTGCAATGTTTTTGATGGGGATTTAGCATGTGAAAGTACAAATTTTACATTTGTGTGCACAGTGGCGAAGCACTATAAAAAAAAATTATGCAAATTCGGAAAGTATTCATTATTGGTCAATTGACAGACACACAGTCATGTTATGCGTCACTATTAGCAGTCAAAATAAACACGTTTTCCACCAGGGCAGTAATCAACACAAGTTTAGCTGCTGATCTGAGCTTCCATGCTGTTACCGTTTTATTGCCAATGATATTCAATAATCATCAGTAGTTTGTCTCCAGAAGGTAAGGGCACATTTCTGTCCACGTTGCAAAGCCATAACAGAGCGCTGTAGAATAACTACATTAAGTTACAATCCAACTATATATTTTTTTCTACCAGGGCAGTAAAATTTTAGCTGGCTGATCTGAGCTTAGATGCTGGAAGCTACGTTTGATTGCCTATTAGCGATCAGCTGATTGTCTCACGAACATAACTGACAAAGCTGTTTGTCCGTTGTCGGCTATTGTAGAAACATGACGACAAAATACGGCAACCTCCATAGAAGGGGGTGCCCGCGGTTATGTAGATAAAAATATCTCATTCTAATGTAATAAAAACATAATGGTTCATTATGCAAGGTCTTTATACACCACTGAAAATATTACACGCTGAACCTTTAACAGTTCTACACATTGTTTTCAACATTGTAACGAAAAATTTCAATGACTTTGTTTTCTTAGTATCAGTTCAATAAATCAAACTTTATCAGTGTTAGTAACACTGAAACTTCATCTTGGCTTCAGATCCTGTACAACCAGCAGAGTGTGGAGGTTCAAGGCAACCTGAAGAGGAAGTTGATCACACAGCTGCAGCCAGATACTGATTATTCCTTCGTGCTGATGAGCCGGGGGAACAGTGCCGGGGGCCTCCAGCAGCAGGTTTCCATCCGAACAGCTCCAGACCTTCTGAAGATGAAACCAGCTCGATTACAACACGATGTGGAGGAGGGTGGTAAAGTGACCATCAGTCTGCCCAGGGTCCCTGCTGGAGCCTCCATCAGGTCTGTGTTGTTTGTTTGTTTGTTTGTTTATTTGAAGGAAAACCAAGCTGAAGAAATAGGGATGATTAATGATTTCACTAGATGGCTCTGAAATGTATTTTCTCCTCTGCACATATCAGTTTAATTTTAAATGTATCATGTGTAATGTTAAGAATGTGAAGATATTTATATGTACTGTTAGCTTTCCATTACCAATGTCTTAAAAAATGAGAGCTTCCCCGACTTTCTCAGTTGCCTGTAACAGCATGTGGACTGAAATCTATGTGAAGGACAGGATGTTTTGGAAAATCCACAGTATGTGACGTTTACAGTTCCTCTACAGCGCCACCAGGTTCCAACACTAGCGAACGTTTAGCTATCCAGTTAGAAATCCAGTCCAACAAAGTCCAAAGTCAATGCTAACATTTAATGCAAAGCATGTGAAATATATAGTGATATTGTTGCTAATGTTACCTAACGTTAGCTTGTTTTGTCAGCTGGTGTTGCGAGGCAGCCGGCCCCAGATCCATGCAGCATGAATGGGTTGCATCTAGCTTAGCTTGCTTGCTAGCTAACGTTATCACTAGCAAAAGACCATCTGATTGCATAATCAAAGTGGGTTGACGACCCATCTCTCTCACTCACTCGCTGTCTTAGGTCCAAGCTGAGTTAGTTTAGCTCTTATGCTGGCTCTCTTGCTTCTCTACCTGGGGCAATCCCACCTCTTGTGGTTTCCTTTTTAACTCATCGTACAGCACTTCATTCAACCACAACAGCTGTTGATCTCGAAGGCTGTGTTCAGTCCCCGTCCTGCCGCCTTCACTGAGAGGCTGCTGCTATTGGCTGCTCACCCGTTCCGGACTCAGTCAGCCAAGCTAACTAGTTAACAGCAGTTAGCATTTACGACATCATGATGATGATGATAATAATTTTTATTTATTTACTTTCAAATCCAAGTAGATTCACAAGAGCAAAGACAATAAAACACATTTAAAAAAACAAGATACACGGTAAAAGCAGGAAGAAACTTACAAAATTAAAATACAGTTACAAGAAAAAACGATAAATAATTAACTAAAATCAGGAAAGGCTCTCCTATTACAGTATATTTTAAGAAGCGATTTAAAAGTTTTCACTGACTCAGCCACCCTGATTTCCTTGGGCAGGAGTCTTGGGGCCCTGACTGCAAACTGTCCCCTTTAGTTTTCAGTCGAGACTCAGGAACAGACAATAGACCTTTGCCCGAGGATCTCAAGGTGCGTGCTGGTGCGTATGGGACTAACAGGTCAGAGATAGGGAGAGAAGCCATGAAGAAATTTAAAAGTACTCAACAAAAGTTAAGTCTATTCCAAAACATACTTGGAGCCAGTGTAACAAAGCTAAAACAGGGGTGATGTGATTATATTTCTTTTTTCTGGTCAAAAGCCTAGCAGCTGTATTCTGGACAGTCTGAAGCTGATCAATAGATTTTTGGGTCAAGCAAGTAAAAAGGCTGTTGCAGTAATCCAGGCATTTTACATGCCTTCATCTCCATGAGATGAAGGCATGTAAAATAATCCCAGTGTCCTTTAAAAAGTTAACATTGATGGTATTTTTGATATATTTGTAAAATGGTAAAAACTTAAATGCATGAGCTTTGTGGTGTGATGCTGAAGATATGCTGCCCACTATTTTTTTGGAGTATGAATTCAGCAGGTGGAGAGCAGTTTCATTTCTTCCATATTGTACCTCTGACCTAACGCTGGTGTATGTAGTAGCATATAATAGCTATAATGATTTGAATACTTAACTATGAAATCTAACCACTAATGAATTCTTAATGTTGTACTCATCTCAAAATCGTCTATCTGCATTTGTGTGGTTTGATAACCCCTCTTTGAAGGGGGTAGGTCATTTCAAGTGGCATGATTTTAAAAACCATGATTCAGTATTTTTTGGGCATCAGAAAATGGTTTGAGCTCCAGGACTGAGAAAGTAACATTGTTAACACTGTGCTGCTTTACAGAGAAATACAAAACTGTAATAATTAGCCTTAAAAATATACATTTTACAAATGCATGCACGCAGCAAGCTGCCTGTTAACGACAAGCGTTAATGATTCTGAATGTGTCGGAACAACCACCAAGGAGACTGAACATTTTATTTATTTATTTCAATACAGTGTAACCAGTCTCGTTCCAAACACGGCAAACACTTTAAACTTAACAAACTCCTCTCCCACTTGCAGCCTCTTTTGTCCATGCCTGATCCTGCTGTCATACCCAAGTCTGAGTAGAGTCAACTAAAAGGGGCGCTAACTTAACTAACTAGTTAATGGCAGCTAGCGTTAGCAGCAGAGCACGCCGGTAACTGACTTCTGTGTTACAAGAAAAAAGGTCAGTGTTGCAACAATCCTGATACTTTAGTCCCAGTGACCCACTCCCATTAATGTTGTTTTGGCCACTTAGGGGCAGCAAAACAATTTCTAAACAATACACTGACATAGTACCTTAAAAAGTTTACATTAGAAACATTATAAAGTAGTTGTCAGTTTACACATTCAGCAGACACTGAGTCAGAGTTTTGGTCAGAGTAGTTTTAAAAGCTAACCAAACATGCAAACAATGCCATGATTACAACCTATCACTACCGCTCCTGAGCTCTCTTGATACCAGAAAGCAATTTATTGAAGAGGTGAGCTTCAAAACCACCGTTGATCAGCAAAGAGAATCCCAATGCAAAGGCTTCAAATCTGTAGGTTATGTTTTATTACCTAGCTTGGTCAAATGGTCAGGCACAATAAATTACTTGGACATAATTGTGTTGTTAGAAGTGTTTGTTTTTCAATCACCCACAAGTAAGCTTTAATAAGAGAAGTGGGGTTGATGGAAGAAAAAAAACTAATACCATCTCTATGTATGAATGCCTTGCCCAGACCGTTTCATCATTCCCAATGTCAAACGTATTCCATCTGTGTTTATGAGAAGGGAAGAGGAGATGTGAATGTAAAAACTGCAGAGTAAACAGAAAAGTCCTTCAATATACTTTGTCAAACATTTGCAATAGAATTGACCAAAGCAAATTCCTTGTATGTGTAAAACACTACATGGCAATAAAGCTCCTTCTGATTCTGATTCTAGATGACTGAAATCAAACAGCATGTAATTCACATTAAAGCTATTTGTGTTTCTGTGTATGTCTACAAAGCATCTATGTGTAATGCAGTTGTGTTTCTGTGTTTAATACAGGTGGTTCTACATAGTGGTTGTCCCTGTCACTCCGGCTTCTCTGAGAAGATGGGAGAATCCTGAAGACATGGATGTGTATGAGGTGAGTGGACACTTACTTGTATTCGCAAAAGGGACAAAATCTGTTCTCACAGTCAGTTTTTAGGAACTCACCATTTGGGGAGGTTATTCTCTAAATGCTGCTCGCAAAAAAGTAAACCATTCCATTTTTAGGTTAAGATTGGGTTTTGGGTGAAGGGGGGTTGGGGTTAGGCATGTAGTGGTTGTGCCATAAGGTTCCTTCTAACCAAACACAGGTTTAAATTTAGTGTTGATCATCAAAACACACTGGAACCTCATGCAAGAATAGAATATTTAGAATATTCTTGCATGGTTCCCCTTGTGTGTAGCCTTGAGGCCTTATGGGAGTGTCGAATGCATTTCCTTTCTTAAAAGACATCTGTGGAGATTCTTCAGGCATCCATCACATTTCGCTCAGGATGGCTGCTGGACTTGATTGAAGATACTTGGCTTATCACGTGAGGCCAAATGTGAGTGCTTGTTCAAACTTCTGGGAAGGGATGAAACCTCCTTCCCCATTGAGAGATTGTATTTCCACTTTTGTGTAGAACCATCTCTCCTTCCTGTTCAAAATATGAACATTGTTGTCCTTGAAAGTTTGTCCCATGTCCTTCAAATGCAGGTAAACTGCTGAGTCTTGACCTGAGGTGTTGGCCCCTGTGTTGAGCCATGAGTTTATGTAGAGGTTGTTTACTTTCCCTGATATACAGGTCTGTGGATTCCTCACTGCATTAGACAGCATAGACTAGATTGCTTTTCTTGTGTTTAAGCTCTGTCTTTTGGGTCGACCCATCTTTGTCTGAGTGTCTTGCTTATTTGTAAATTACAGAACACACTGCTACTTGTTTTAGCATTCTTTGGCTGCTTAGTGCACTGCGTGATCTTATTCCATGTTATTTGCTAAAGCTTTGTTTAAACTGACTTGCTCCTTTCTGTATCCTCACAGCCAACGAGACTAAAAGTTTAAAGCCCCTCTAGCAGCCCTGAGGTTGCAATATTCATTAAACACAACAATGTGAGGAGGCTGGATGGGACAAACAACATACTTATTCTTACAGCCTTCCTGTTAGGGGGTCTGAAAATATAATGTTTGAAGTCTGCCTCAGAAAGGGTTTGTCCACCTATAAATGGCAATAATTAAACACTATTTTACATTAGTAGGGTGGAAAGTTAAGGGTTGAATCTAAGCACTGACTGTCACAACCAGCAACACAATACACAAATAACCATAGACAACTCCTTAAATAAAACAGGATTGCTACAGGATTGTTTAGTTGTCAGCAAACAGCAGGCCGAACAGAAAAGCAGATCACGCGACTTACCAAAGCAGTCACGTAACTGCACCCAGAAGGGCCCTTCCATGGAGTAATCCGTTTCCCATAGTAGCGGCAGCCAGCCGCACTGTAACGGAGAGTCGTGCGCCACAACAGCCACAAATGAAAATCGCTGCCCAATCACCAAGGTGCCAAGAACGCTGGGGCAGTACCATACAGTGGCAGTGAGGAAAAAATAACTCTGGCCTCTCTAGCTTTGTAGCTACTTTAGCAATGGGCAGCATTAGCTGCTGTAAGCAATGTTAAGAATATTTAGAATGAATGATGAACTAGAGAGAAATGAGAGGAACGTTAGTTAGAAATACCACCTTGTTTCATAAATAAATCCACAATCACTTCTGGCAAAAGCGTAGCCTCCACCACTCAACTACCGAAGCATTTAACGCACTGCTGTGACCTTGAGGATGCCGGGAGAGGGCAATGAAAATGGGAGGGTTAGCAAGTCAGATCACAGAGAGGAGAAGTACTAGGACTATTTTATTATTATTTAAGTCATGTAATTAACGTGACAAATGACAATCTCACTGGTAACACAGTAACACAGCCACTTTCCTTCATGTTTCTGTGTGCTCAGGTAGACTCCAATCAGCTGATTTTTTTTCTGTGATTTTTGTAGCGTGGCAGTATTTTGCACAGGGGAGCTGCAGAGCGTCCTCTGGTGGGAAAACTATGCAACAACCATGACATGAGTGAAGAATCTGTTTCTTTTTTAATAGTAGGGCTGTAACGGTTCTGAAACCGAGACCGAAATCGCGAGCAGGTTAAAGCCGTGAACGGTATGCTACCATTTAGGTATTAGTGCAGTTTAAATGAATGAAACTAAACTTTGTGCGACCAGCAAAAAACTTATCATTGCAAACAATTCTACATCTAATTTATTGAAGCATCTGCTAAAGCAGCACAGCAACATGAAAGTTATAGAAAGAAACTCCGGCTGCAACTTCCAGTGATATAACATTGTATGTTATGTAAAAATACTGAATACTGCTCTTATAAATGCATGTGCAGACAAACAGTAGTTCGGGATTTACTTGCTTTATTTTTTTTATGTTATATTTTTTGTAAAACCATACTCCTTGCTGCTATTATGAATATGATATTAGTTAAAAAGGGGGAGACTGCTTTGTTTGTGTGTGTGTGCGTGTGTAACGAGTAACGTAACTAGTTACTTTTATCACCCAGGAATAAGTAAGTTCTATTACATTTTTAAGGAATAATAAGTAACTAGGAACTTATTACAATTTCTGAGTAACTTGTCCAACACTGGAGCTGACTACTGAGAGATGTTGTCACAATCGTGGTGTGGAGGCAGGTTGGAGGACCCAAATGCAGGACGCAAGGCAGAGGAGGTGCGGTGAACCGAGGTGATTTATTAGAACAAACAGAAGGCGAGCACACTTACTGACTGAGTGGCTGATAGAGTCCAAAACAAAGGTAGTTCCTAACAGAAATCCAAAATCCAGAGGTACAGGGTGACAAGACAAGCAAGGCTGGTTACAGGAAGGCAGCGAGTATACACGCGACAGACTGAGGGGTAACATGAACAATGACCAGACAAAGACAAGACAGAAACACCAGGTATATACACACAGGGACTAACGAGCAGGGCGGGAGCAACACAGGTGAAAGACATGAGGCTAACGAGACACAGGTAGGGAGAGAGAGAGAGAGCAGGGGAAAACAGAGACAGACATGCAGAGGGATCACTGGGGTAACAGACATGACAAGGGTTACCGAACACTAGACGAAAGACAAGACAGACCCCCAAAACCCAACAGACCAAAATAACACTAACTAAACACAAAAGTGCAACACAAAGGATGGCCAACCGGCAGAGCGTGACAGATGTTTAATTAAGAAGCCTCAAGGCACGGGAAAACCCTCTGTTACGGTGATCAATGACATTATATCATTTTGTGTTATGTTACATTGTTGCACCACCTCATGACATGGCCATTTCAAAGTCTCCTGTTGTGTCGTCACTCTCTGGCAGCTCCTGGAGGCTGGTGCTGACAGCAGTCTGCAGAGAAAGAAGAGACAGAGCCAGGATTTCATGCAGCCCTACATCGCTGCCAAGATGGATGCTCTGCCTGAGATCTTTACTCTGGGTGATGAGAAGAAATACAACGGATACTACAACAAACCCCTCCCTGGCCAGCAGCAGTATCGCTGCTTTGTTCTAGCTGACCTGGTGGACCACGAGTCTGTGAGTGACCTTTATGTAATTATATGGACATGTGCATGTACAGCACCTTTCATACATTTTAAAGCATCTTTTTATTTTTAAAGCAACCCTTCTCCATTCATGATATATGTGAAGTATTTAACAATATCTTGTGAAGAGGATGGTGAATTTTTGGTCAATCACAAGACTCTTTGGCCAGTTGCTATACAATCATCAGTCAGAGTCAGTGTTGTAGCAGGTAGGTGGATGTAGCAAAAAGGTTACGAGTTTGGGGGAAAAAAACAAACTCCAATGTTAAGTTTGAATTTGTTCAGTTAGTGAATTTTGAGTGTTTCAGTCAGTTCTGGTATATAATCTGTCAACAAAGGCATACATTGTTTGGCTCAGACAAACCTCCAGAGAGGCATGCTCTACTACACTAGATGTTCTCAAGAACATTAGGCAGCAAACAAGCATAAGAGCATGAAGGAGCCCTTTACAGGGGTCATGTGAACCAAATATTCTCCGTCACTGACTGAAGGTTGACATTCATTTTTACAGATTAGAGACAAAGGGTCTACAGTACATACATAAACACTATGAACCACATGTAGACCAACTGTAGTAGACCCCTTCTCCAGCTGGTGGTGAGTGTACATATTAATTAGCTGTTGTCTAGTAGTCTTATCTTTGAACTTAGCCATTGCATTGGTATGGTATATGTCTACATAGCTAGATAAATTCACAAATATTAGCAAAATGTCACAACATCTGAGCATCCAAACCTTCTTTAGAAAGCCCAGTAATTGTGTGGTTGATAAACAAGGTGAACGAAGAGAGATTGATGCAGTGGAGGTTGAAGGACAAGCCAGCAGCAGCTAATGTTAAAGGGGGAGCAAGTGGGAGCAAGGAGGTAAAAATCATTCATTTGCGTCTCTGCTCATCTTTTCTCTCCACGCCCTTAGAAATGCAAGTTCTGTATATTAAATGTTATTGTGATCAAGAAAATTAAATCTCAATAAATGGGCTATATCTGTCATTATCATTATAAAGACAGGTAATAATTATTATTGTAGTATGATGGAATTTTGGTTAGCTAATGTGTTTCTTGTGTGGAGCTCAAAAGACCTCAAGTCTTTGCAACTTTGGCTTGAGTCAGTTGTCTCCACTACTCGCTCTCAGTGTGCTTGGTTGTGATGGCAATGTGTGCATAGCATCTGCCAGATCATGACTAAGTTGTAAAGTTCGTTCTGGTCTTAACGGTGGTATTAGCTTGCAGGTGATGCAGCAGAGTGGAGCAATTCCTTAAATTGGAAGCAGCATCTTAGGAGCATGGGCAGTTCTTTCATTGTTGCTGCTTTCTCAGACATTGTGTTTGCAAAACTTTTAAAGATATTGAGTGAGCATATGCACAAGGAAAGGGCCTGCACAGCATGTGCACGAGCAGTGATTGACACTGCGTTACAGACTTAGTAACGTAATTAGTTGTTTTGAATTGGGTGCAGTGGATTGTTGCAAATGGCATTAGGAACAGTAGGAGGAGCCAGAGGAACCTGATTTGTTTTACAGATTATCTGTTGCATGTACTACTGTCAGGATATAGTTACAGTTTCAGCAAATATGACAAAAAGTTATTTTTATAACCTTTTAAAGGGGCCATTTGCAGTTTTCAATGGCCTTTAGCAGTGAGGTTTCAGATTGCAACCACTACCTTTCCAGGTGTGTGCTTGTGTGCATGCTCCAACTAATAAGTGAGCCCAAACAGAACCGAACATAACGTGAGACAGCTTCACACAACATGCTGGTAAATCCATTGTTACAGTAATATTTTTATCAGCTTGACATTGAGCTAATCCATGCTCGTTGCATGATAACGTTACATTTAGCTGACATGATACATCAGCGTCAGCTAGCCTACCACCTTTTCACTAACTTTTTGTGTATCTTTCACCGGAGAGGCTCAGCAATGTGAGCACAGCTAAATGTATCGGATGATTACGAAAACTGTGAGCCAGACTGCATATAATAAATGAGGACAGGAAGGAAATATGGGTCTCGTTAGCTGGTGAAGTAATGTAGCAAGGATAAGGTTAGCAACTGGTATTAGCCAGCAAGCAAATGTTATCTATATTGTGTTATCTATATCACAAATCTATATTGTGCAGTGGAACAGACACATGTCTTTGGTGTGAAAGACCCGGGTTCAATTCCCACTGGACCTCTGACATAGCAAATGTATGTCGCTTTGGATAAAAGCATTGTATGTTGCGGACTCGATTTCGTTAGCTGCAGTGTTGTCGTAGTGTGTACAGTTCAGAATCAGTACGCAAGAGCACACATGAAGTGCGTAAGTCTGTGTGTGTGCGTGAGAGAGAGAGAAAAAAGAGAGAGTGCAGGACTAAGAAGGAGGAGTTAGATATAAGAGGACTATTTATTGCGGGGTTGAAGGGATGGGATACTGAGCCGGGGAAGAGCGAGGTAGACTGGAAGACTAGATTCTGCAAAACCGGGTTGGTGGCTGTTGTACAGAACAGGGGGAACTGTAGCTGAGAGTCCAGAGTGTAAGAGGCTGAGCTTAGCACGTCCAGAGCAGAATCCAGGAAAAGTTTAGCTGGGCGGGGGTTCAGAGACAGCAGATGGAAATGAGCGCTATTTCCTGTAGCAGAACTAAAACAGCACATATGCAAAATTCGCTTTTAACTTTTATTATAGCCTACTAAATGTTGTTCTTCTACAATCGGCCTAATATAATTATTTGTTTGTTGTAGCCTACAGTTTAATAATTACATTTAAAATGTAGGCTATTTGACTGTTTTGATCTGTAATGAAATAAAGCAATTGTAAAATTAATAAAAGCCATAACTGTATCACTCAGTTTAAAGTGTTCCCACACTGGCTTCATTTTGTTTTCCCTTTGATGTGTACTGGAGCGTTACGTTCACTGCTGGGAGTGGAGGTCAGGCGTGTGAAAAAATACCCTCAAGATTCGATCCCCAAAATTGAAAATCAAATGTCTACCCAACAAATTTGAATATTCAGAACATTCGGGTCCATCCCTATAGAAGCAGCATGGAGGCTGTTACAGGCAACCGAGAAAGCACAAAATGATGCATTTTTATGTGAGGTTACAACCCGTTCAGAAATAGGCAATAAAAAGACATTAATTTAATTAAAAAACTCCATATAGCTCCTTTAATTGTGACTTAAAAATTGCTTGCACAAATGGAATATCAGGCTGCATTGTTTATAATGCAGACCAGTTTTCAAATTTGATTTAACAGCAGGTTATGCCTTTGAAGATAAAATGTCTAATGCCGTTTCGATTTTCGAATTGTTAGAAAATTGCATTTTTATTTTCACTTAAATGGAAAATCAGGTTAGATTGTTTATTTTGCATTTTCATTTAAAATTGTCCACTGTACAACAGAGTACAACTTTGAAAATTAAATGTTAAACAGCTTTTCTATTTTCATTTTAATGTGGTCATAGTATGTGAAAATGAAAATGCAAATTGGATTATTGAATTTTCATTTTACGTTTTACTCAAATAACACATACATCTAATAAAATTATAATATTGTGAAAAGTAAAAAAGGGAAACTTTCATATATTCTAGATTCATTATAAAGTGTAAAGTGTTAATTTACGGCTTACGGCTCACTGAAATCAAAAATCCATCTCAGAATATTAGAAAATAAATAAATTTTTTTTGAGATGCACCTGTACATAAGTGTAAAATTATGCTATTGTGGAATTCCAATTTCATTTTCAAGTTTACATTTATCATTTTAATATAGTCCCCTAAAGGCATCCATAACTTTGCTCTGGTTATAAAACAAATGGATTCTCAGACCTAGTTAGTCAGTATCAAGCACAAATATAAAAATGCCAATCTTATAAAAGGGTCATACACATACACAAACATACACACGCAACATATATAACTGAAAAAAGCATACAGCAATCAGACACCACACACAGCACACCATTGGAAACTAGCACCAATTGGTTTATTATTTTTAAATAATAAAATAAATAATAAATAAATAAATCATAAACTACACCAGAGGGCAAGGGGAGGGCTGGGGCAACATGGATGGGTTTTTAATATGCAGATCTATTGCTGTATTGTCTTCATTTGTGGCATTTTAAAATCGTCAGATGAACAGTTCTCATAAAGCTATGTAAAACTTAATTTCTACCCTGTGGGTCAGGTTCTAGTACTTAACTTAAGTGGGTTTTCCATACATTTTCCACAGGCTTTGCAACAACAGAGCAGAGTTTGTCGTGAAAGGCAGTGTTTTTCCACCCCGGTGTTTTATATTTATAGAACAAAAGAGCAGCCCTCAGGCAGCGGTGCACACATGCCAGGCACGTCGCAGTGATCTTCAGTCATGCAGGCATCTGCAGGTATATCTCTCAGGCAGTGACGCCATGATCCCTGCTGTCACTCACAGACATCTTGCTTCCAGAGCGTAGCATTTTCAGTTGCCTCTCTAATTTAAGGTGCTTTTGTTCTTCACATTAGTGATTTGCCTTCATGGCATCGTCATTTAAATGTGTTACGATCCAAGGTTGGGGTTTTGGTCCAGAATATCAGATGTGACTTCTGGCTTACTGCCTTTAAACCAGTGGTTCTCAAACCTTTTCACGTCAAGGACCCCTTAACTGATATAAATTCGACCACAGACCCTAATTTGATAAGATTTTGTCCCAGGATCGACCATCTGATAGGATATTGAGTTTTAGATGTTTTATTACAGAAAATATATGAAACTCATGACCAAAATAGTCATACATTCTGTCATTGTGTTACTAGTGGATGGAATTGAGTGAAAAAGTGAAAATAAACGATTCCCCTTTTTGCTGGGGACCCCCTGGAACCCTCTCAAGGAGCCCTGGGGTTCCCAGGACCCCACGTTGAGAAACACTTCTTTAAACAGTCAAGCTGATGATACACAGAGCAACTTTTAGAGCAGTCGTGCAGGGCAACGTTGCCATCAATGGTAATGAGTAAAGATTACTACCGTAATACACTAGCA